GTGTGTCCAGCAATGGAGAAGCGCTCCTGCCAGTTAAATGGAAGGGTTTTGCAGCTGCATAACTGTGTCACCTGAGACAGTATCACACTTTGAACTGGCTGGTGTTAAAAGGTAGCAATTCCACCCTGTCATCATGGCCCTCCTCAATCAGTCATGCCTAAGTGCAACTAAATGCTAACATCTGGAAGCCAAAAGATATTCAAAGCCAGATTCACCTGGGAGGAAACAAGCTTTTTTAGCAGCCCAATAGAACTAACTAATGGCCTGGGAGGGATGTTTGTCTCTTCTACAAGACATAGGATTACTTCTGGATTTTTAACCTTGTTTCCGTTCATCAGTGGCAATATGCTGACATATGATTCCCATGTACAAGCAAAAAAATCCCCTAAAGATGAACTCTGATTTAACATCTTTCCTGATCACCTCTACTAATGCAGAAAAACCTGTCAATCTATAGAAGTGACAGGTCCCATGAAAAAACAAAATCAAGCCCAAATTCTAAAACATACCCAATCTCCTAAGATAGGTCTAGCTTGCACGTATCTCCAAACCCAGCTTTTTCTCTGTGAATGAAAGTGAAATATGATGAAGCCTGAACAAGAGAGAGGCTGACTGTGCTGTACAGATACCTCATGAATGTCACCTTGCTCAGGGCAGTCTCCCACGTGCAGGACCCCAAAGGGAAAACAGACACTACATGATGACTGTCGGGAACTACTAAGATTAAAACACTTAAAACAACAGGAACAAAACAGAAATAATGGGACAAAAACTGACAGCAACTGTTCCAAAGAAACACCATCAAATGGAAAATCAAGCATTCCTCCTTTACCATTAGGCCCATAAGAAATTTGTTCTACATGCAGTTGAGATGAAAAAGAGGAAAGAAATGTTAGGAATTTTTGGAATCATGCCTAGCAGAGGGAAGTTTGGAGCAGCAGAGTTAAAATGATTGATGCACTTTTCCTTTTTTTGCTTGTTTATTTTTCTTAGAATTATGATAAATAGCTCCTTCACATGCCAAAAATTACAAGACAGGTAGGATGTTTCGGTTTGTTTGTTTTTGTACTATCAAAATTAGGATACAAGATTGATGTTAAAAAAATAAAAAGAATCAGCCTTGCATCCTAATTTCCATATTCGCAAGACAGAAAACAAACACCGGAGAGAGTGTGACAGAAAACATCTCAAAGCTATGAGACTATATCCGCCTTTGTTTGGAGGGCCCCAAGGCATTTCAGAGCCTGAACCACACTGGATGGAAAAATTACCTTCTGAACCACCTGCACTGCACTCACGAGCTTCTCTAAAGCTATCTCCAGGAACTGCTGATACTGGAAGTGCTGAATGCAATTTGTGCTGACTTAATAAATGCAGTAACTGAAATCCCTGTGCCCAATCCACTACTAAGTGATGCTGATCGGATTCTCTGGGCTGGTTTTGGCTCAGGACTGGTGTGACCAGCCAAATTCACGAGCAAACGCTCTGCTGGTTGCTAGTAAGCCAAAGACCATGGACTAAATGTCTCTGCACTGGATCATGTCAGCAAGCAAGTATAAAGTCACACCTATTATTTTAGTCAAAGTATTTTGATCAAAGTATGTTTAATAAATAATTAAATCAGTTATGGAGACCCATGGACAATCAGGCAATCAAACTACTTAAAACTGTGGCTTCTGAGCACTTACTAGTCTGGGTAAACCCTTACAACTTGTATTCCTTATGCTTGTAACACAAGGAATTTGCAAGGGCACTGCCAAAGGGAAGGGCACCTCCTGTGTAACTTGCATCACCCTGCGAATTTGCAGATGGCAGTAATGCTGCTCTGAGCAAGTGAATGTGCAAGATGCACTCTGCAGGGGTGCCAGCTCATGTTCAGAAAGAGCAGAGCTGTGTTTAGTGCCCAAGCTCTGCTATTAACTCAGATCTGGGTTTGTAGTTGTTAAGACTTCTCCCTTTTAAAGGAAGGTCTCTGAAGTTATTTCTCATGAAGGTTGGGAAAGACATGCGACAGCTGCAGGTCTGGGCTCAGAAATGCAGGGTTTATGCCCCTTTGGACTTGCCATAAATTTAGTGCTTGCCAGGACCTAACTCTCCGAATTGACTCAGTGAATTAAAATATACATCTTCTGCAGGGCTTTTTTAAAACTGGCTTCCCACCCCTCCCAAATAGCATTTCTTTGCAGGGAACACCAAAACGCTTTCCCCATGAGAGCTCCCTCTGTAAGCGTGGCTCCAAACCAGCATAATACTATACTGTGCAAAGCGGTGCATTCACATGGCACGGGGTGAGTGTCCCTTCCAGATAATGCTCTGTGAAACCAATGGTTACACCACAACAGCCTCCCTTCCATCACCTAAAGCAGCAGACACATTCATAGCAAGTAGATCGGTCAGGATCCAATTTCTAGTGCAGGGCTTGAAGAATTAGACTTTCCCATTGCTGTTCAATGGGTATTTTAATTCCCTGCACATCACGCTGAGCATTCATACCTCTTTC